TGTGTCTGTGTCTGTGTCTGTGTCTGTGTCTGTGTCCTTCCCAGAGTAGGAACTTAACGTGAGCTCCCCAGTCCCCTTTTGCCCTAGAACAAGATGAGGAACAGGGTAACCCCCGCCCCTCACGCACTCTAGGACCTTATCAAGCTCCCTCCCATCCCGCCCCACATTACTCCACCCCCTCTAGCTCTCTGAGCAAGGAGGCAGACCGAGCTCTGCACGGCTGAAGGAGGAAGGGGCTCCCCTTTGGGTAAGAGAGAGGCGAGAGGCGGGGCTCCAGGAGACGGGGGAGTCCCTCCCCAGGCTGTGCACCAGGGGGAGGGAAAGAAGGAGGAGAGGTAGAGGAGTGGGAACTGACCGAGGCAGCAGCAGCTGCAGCAGCAGACGCTGCAGCTACAGACACTCCTCCAGCTGCTGATCCCCCTTCTCATACCCCACTTTTCCCCACCACCGGCTGCACAAGCAAGAGAGGCCCCGATCTCCCGCCCGAGGAAAAAAAAGAGAAGTTTCTGACTGTTCAAGGGCAGTTAGAGACTGGCGCAAACCAGGGTCCCTCGGTCCCCTCCCTAACTGCTCTGCTCCCCGCCCCCACGTCCGTGGGCTCCTTGGCTGGCGAGCCAGGGCACCCAGGCGGAGGAGGAAGACTGGAGTGGGGGCTCGCTTGCGGCCGGAGAGGAACAGCGATCAATGAAGCCCTGCAAAGAAGAAGAGGAGGCTGCGGCGGCGCAGGCTGCCGCTGGGGATGGCAGAGGCGGCGGTGCAGACCCCTGGAAGGAGTGTGCAGAGGTGGCGGTGCAGCTGGCGCTCCGGGCGGGACAGGTCAGCAGCCTTCTTCTTCCCCAGGCTCTCCCCGCTGCCGCGCTCTCCTCCGCGTGCGACCGCCCTGCTAGCTCCCTCACGTCCGTGTTCACCCGCTTCCCCAGCCTCCGAGGTGACTAGGGCTCCCAGTTTCCCGTCTTCAACCTCAACCCCTCCCCCAGCCCCCCAGCTCGCCTCACTGAGTTGACCGGCGCGATGCCTGTGCCGCGCCTCCCCTGGGCAGCAGGAGATGGAGCGAGCGAGGGAGGAGCTGGCTGGGTGAGGTCAGGCACGCGGGACACCTGGTTCCCAAAAGCGGGAACACACTCTTTCCCCAAATCCTCTCCACAAGGAGCTGGAGGCAGACAGGTTCAAACCAGATCACCGGAGTTCCTTGTAGCCTTTAAAAATTATTTCAAACAAACAACTTAAACTCTTTGCATCTGTCGCCTAATGTGGTGGGTTTAACCGAAAGGCTGAGATGTGGGTCGCATTAGGCAGGAGATGATGCGTGGTTTGAGAGGCTAACACTTAGCTTGTGGGAAGGTGTTTGAGGTAGGCTGGAGCCATATGGCCTTACCTTCTATCTCAGGCTCTCGCTCCTCCCCCACCTCGCCCTCCGCCTCACCCCCTCTACCCTCCTCTCCTGAGTCCGAGTCTAGAGGTGACAGAATGCTTGTGTTCTTGTGGCCTGGTAATCTTTTGGATTGGTGGCGCTGTCAGATAAACTATCTCTGTGCCTAGTTTCTCAACATAGGGTGCTAGGGTGAGATATTGTCAAAGAAGCCCATTGTTTTTTGTTTCCTGTAAGAACCTTTGCTTTCTCTTCATTTAGCAAGAAGGGGTGCATTTCTCTTTTGTCCTCTGCGTGTATGTCACCACCCACACTCTGGTGTCCCCATGGTGCTCTATAGAAGCAGCAGATGAAGGTTAAAGTGACACAGGCCTTGACCTTTGACAGTGTTCTGGCTTTTTAAAAAGCCAAGTTCGAATTTATTAATGATGCTTTGTAGGGCAGCTAGGTGGAGAAGTGGATAGAGCACCGGCCCTGGAGTCAGGAGAGCCTGAGTTCAAATTCGGCCCGAGACACTAGCTGTGTGACCCTGGGCAAGTCATTTAACCCCTCGATTGCCTCCAAAAGGGAAAAAACAAAACAAAAACGTGATTTATGAGCTCAGGTTCCCGAGTCTAGGACCCAAGAGAAAAGACCACTAGGCATGGATCAGAAGGTATATAAGTGAGCAATATACATATATATGTATATATATGTATATATATATATATAGTGCTCACCCATGCACTAAGAACATTGATAACAAATATCACCAAAGCAGCTCCTACTTTGCAGTCATCAGCAATTTGCAATTAAGAAAGAATCATAGGATTTAGAACTGGAAGGGTGACTTTAAAGACCCTCAAGTTCAACACCTTCATTTTATACACGAAGAAGCAGAGAATCAGAGGTAAAGGGACTTGCCCGAGTCTCAAAGAGAATGAGAATCAGAGTTGAAACTTTAAAGTATTTAAGAGTCCAGAATTTAAAATTACCATAGACATTGGATGCAGTGTTAGGAACATAGTAGGTACTCTTTAAATATTTATTGAATTAAACCTTGAGATCAAACAGTAGGATTAATAAAAACCAAATAGGTTAAATAAATGAAATACCATTTTCTCTCTTTTAGGGGCATTTTTGCTTTGGTTTGGGGGGGGATGTGAGGGAAGCTCTTTCCTGAGAAGTCCATCAAATTTACCTTAATTATATATTACTTGCTTAAGGCAGTTACTGGAGTTTTTTGTTATTTGAGAAATAATGGAAGGTAGTAGAATTGAATAGAAGATTTCCTTTCAGAAGTGGAACTAGGCCAATTACAACTAAAAACCATTTTTTCAAGTCCAACAACAGTTTTTGAAGGAAGTCTACAAGTTTTTGGAATGGGACATTGGAATAATTCTGAAAAGAGGTGGAATGAAGGGGGTATACTATACTCTTCTTATTTGATCATTGCTATTAATTGAGTTAGCCACCTGTGTGACCTTGGGCAGATGAGTCACTTAATCCCTCTGGGCCTCAATTTTTTCATCTGTAAAATGAGTTAGGCTGGCTTCTAATGTGCATTTCAGATTTAACATTCTACGATCCTGAATATGACTTGATATGCTGTATAGATAGATGGATAGATGGTATGTCCCTGACATAATGCTAATTTCTGGGGATACAATTGCAAGCAAGACCATCCCTATCTTCAAGGCACTTATATTCTCTTGGGGGAAGACAGCACATAAAGGGGAGCTGAAAAGAGGGGGTGCAAGCAACACAACATGGAGACTGGCTAGAGATAGCATAGAAGGTACTATGATTTTAATGATGAAAAGCTATGCAGTTAAGGACAATATATTACATGGTGAATACTGTGGAAATACTATCCTTTTGGCTTGATCTCTATTATCTTCTCCTCTGTGGGAAAGGAAGGATTCCAAACCTGTACATGTTGATGATTGTTATAACTGAAGGGCAAACATTCCTGCCTGTTTATCATAATATCTTTCTTAATGCTGAAAGCTATAGGCCCTTCAAAACTTTGGGAGGATAGGGAAAGGAAGAAAAAGGTTGGCAGATTTTCCTGGAAAGTATAGCTTCCTCAAAGAATGCAACCCTTCTCCCTTTCTTATCATATCCTTTCTCTAAACCCTCATTTATAAAGTGTGTATCACCATTATACTTTTAAAGACCCATATAAACCTTTCTTTTCTAAGATGCTTTTGGAAAAACCTTCTGCAAGGATTCAGAAGCTGTTTAGACTCTTCTTGGTTAGGTTGGGAGGATGACAAAGAGAGGAAATTTCTAAATGACTGAAGAAACAAGAAGGCAAATTTATTTTTTGTAACATACAAGAAAAGTTGAAAAAAAGGGGAAGTGGAGCAAAGATTCTGCAATTAGGAGTCTAGTCATGGAATCCCTGGTTTCTGGGAGCTCTCTCTTAAGCATTATGCTGATGCATCCTGCCTGGCAGATAGGAAGGAGTAAAACTGACCATTGCTGTGGAAAACTAAAGTCACACAAGGTCAGTGTGACCCTCATGGAAGAAGTACAAACTGTCTTTCTAATTACCTTACAGAATAATCATAAGGCTAACTTTAAAACTTTTTAGTCTAGATACTTAGTCCAGTTAGGGTTTTAAAATAATGGATTTTTAACAAATTGAGTCTTCTTCAGCCAAAGTAGTTTTCATGGCTACCACAGTTCCCATGAGGTACACAAAAAAACATAACCAGAGCTCTTTTAGTTTTTGGAATATAGCTGAGAAACATCATGGTGTAGTAGGAAAAGGACCATCATAGCGCTAATGCTTCTATTGCTATACCAGTCCCTGGAAAAACGCACTAAAGTTTCTCATTATAGACTTTAGTGGTTCTCCCTAATCCCACCCCAACAAGCAACTGATGAGTTAAATTCTTCTTGTCCCCTCTGTTTCTGTTTTCACTTAAGAATTTAATTCAATTTAATACATTCATTAAGTACTAGTAAATACAAGACACCATGTAAGATGCTAAGGATATGGAGACAAAAAATGATTTAGCAATTCAAAACTTTCTATAATACATCCAAACAATCAATGAATTTGTAATATACTGTGGTAGGTGCTGGGAATACAAACACACACACAAAAATATAGTCCCTATTCTGAAAGAGCTTACATACCATCATGGGAGTAAGTCCATGTAAGTATATAAAGAATAAATACGAGGTAGTTTAGGGAAGGAGAGCACTAGGGGGCTGGGAGGGCAGTGGAGGAGACTTCAAGTAGAAGGTAAAGTGTTTAAGCTAAGTCTTGAAAGAAATTAGGGGTTTTTTTCCCCAGGCATGGGAAATGGTTGGTGCAAAGGGACAGAGAAAGGAAATAGAGTATTATGTGGGAGGGCAAACAAGGCCAGTAGATTGTGAGGAGAGTAATTTAATGAGTCTGTAAAGGTAGGAGTCAAGTTGTGAAGGGTTTTGAAAGCCAAACAGACGAATGTATATTTGATTCTAAAGGTAATAGGGAGCCATTAGAGTATATTGAGTGGGGGAGTGAAATGATCAGATCGATGCTTAAGATAAATCCCATGTTTTAAGGTAAATCCACATGGAAATGGCGGTCTAGCTCAACATAGACACTAGGACTAGAGACACAGATTTGGAAGTTATCTGCATAGAGGTTGATTTTTGAAGTTATGAAAAGAAATGGGATTGCTGAGAAAGGGGGGAGGGAGAGGTAGAAAAGGAGGGAGAAGGGGAGAGAAGAAAGGGAAAGGAGGGGAGAGAGAGAGAAAGAGAAGAGGAGTAGAGAAAGGAAAAGATGTTCAAAGATGAAATCCTGAGAAACATTAATATTAAGTGGTCAGGATAGGAACAAAGATTCAAAGAATACAAAAAAGGGGGCAACTAGAGAAGTAGGAGGAAAACCAGGAGAATGGTGTTTTTGAAGATGAGTGAGGAGAAAAGTACCCTGTACTTGGAGGTGACCAACATTGTCAAAGACTACAGAGAGGTCAAGGTGATTAGAAGATTATTGGTGACTTCAGATAAGTTTATTAGAATGATGAATTCAGAAACCCAATTCAGTTATAAGGGATTTATAGTGGGGAGTGAGGAAGTTGAAGCATTCAATATGAATAACTTTTCTAAGTTTAGGAGTTAAGAGAAGGAGAGATGGAATGATAGTTGAATGAGCTACAGGGTAAAAGGAAGCTTGTTAGAAAAAAAAAAAAAGCACTGGGGAGACCTGAGCATGTTTGTAAGTATATAGGAAGGAGCTGATGGGGAAGGAGAAATTCAAGATATGAGAAGGAAGTGATGATACTTAGAGCAACGTTCTGAAGGAAGTGATAAAATATCAGATAAAGGGCATAACAGAGGGATTACCGTAGTAGGTAACAGGGCTGGTCCTTTCTCTGTGATAGTAAGTAAAAAGAGAGAAGGTGATGTTGCAGAGGTTTTAATTATGGAGGAGTAAGGTTAGAAGAGCTTATGTCAGATG